ATTGGTGCATTTGCCTTCTTGATTGTACTAGAAGGTGATGGAAGACAGCTTCCATCACCTATGGTGCCTGCCTTACCTGGTTGCCGTGGGGGTGTAGGTGACTCACGGAAGCACAGGAAAAGAGGTTTATCTGGGGCCACGGTGTCCCTTGGCTTGCCCCACCGCTGCCAAGGGCGCCTGCGTTCCACCCCTGTGCGAGTCACTGGTGTGAATGCTGTCCTTTGGTTTTTGTTATGACTTCAGGAAACGAAAGCAAAAACCACACGCAGATGCCTCTGGTTTCCTCCTTGTCCATCTGGTCCCCACTTTGTCTCCGCCCACTTGACCTGGATCTAAAGGGCAGAAAAGACAAGGTGGCGACTTAAACAAAAAAACCAAACACTGTGGAGACAGAGGCAGGTGGATCTCTGTGAGTTCCAGGCTAACCTGGTCTATAAAGAGAGTTCCAGGACAGTCAGGACTATTATTACACAGAGAAACTTTGTCTCAAAACAAACAAAAGCCGAAAACAAAAGAGAAGGCAGGGCGTTGGTGGCACACGCCTTTAATTCCAGCACTGGGGAGGCAGAGGCAGGCGGATCTCTGTGAGTTGGAGGCCAGCCTGGTCCCCAGAGCGAGTGCCAGGACAGCCTCCAAAAGCCACAGAGAAACCCTATCTCAAAAAACCAAAAAAGAAAAAAGAAAAGAAACAACAGTTTTTCTGGGACTGGAGAGAGTGCTCAGTGGTTAAGAGCCCTGACTACTCTTCCAGAAGACCCCCGTCTGGTACCTAGAATCCATAGGGTGGCTTTTAAGCATCTCTAACTTCAATTCCAGGGGAATCCATTGCCCCCTTCTGGCCTGTGTGAGCACTGCACCCATGTGGTACCAAGACATCCGAACAAGCAAAACCCCCTTACACATAAAATAAAAACTAAAATCCCTGAGAAATAGCTCAGGGATTATGGGCGTCCCCTTCCAGGCAATCCAGGTTTGATTCCCAGCACCCACATGGTGGCTCATAAACATTTGTAACTCCAGCTCCAGGGGATCAGACCCCCTTCTACTGGCATTTTTAGGGTACCAGGCATATACATGGTGAATAGACCTACATTCAGGCAAAACACTCATACACATAGGATAAAATGGAAAAATTTTAGCCAGGCACGGTGTAAAGTGTCCTTAATCTCAGTGCTCCGAAGGCAGAGGCAAGTGGATGGATCTCTGTGGCTTCAAGGCCAGCCTGTTTTACATAGTGAATTCTAGGACCCCCAGAGCGACATAGTGAAACCCTGTTTTTAAAAAAAACAACAACAAAAAAACAAATCAACAATCCAGAAAAGACCATGCTCATTGGGTATGCCTTTTTGTTGTGGTTTTTATTTTTTTGGGTTTTTTTTATTTTTTTGGGTTTTTTTATTTTTTTATTTTTTTTTGGTTTTTTTGAGACAGGGTTTCTCTGTGTAGCTTTGGAGCCTATCCTGGCACTCGCTCCTGGAGACCAGACTAGCCTCAAACTCACAGAGATCTGCCTGCTTCTGCCTCCTGAGTGCTGGGATTAAAGGCATGTGCCACCAACGCCTGGCTTTTTTTTTTTTTAAAGATAGGGTTTCACTGTGTAGCCCAGGCTTGCCTCAGACTTAGTTCCCCTATTTCTGCACCCAAGTGAACACAGGCATTCACTACCACATTCAGTACTGTGTGTGTGTGTGTGTGTTTGGTGCTGGGGATCTGACCCAGAGCCAAGTAACTGCTAAGTCCTCTTTGGCTGAGCCACGTCCCCAGCCCTTCCCTTGGGGGCAGTGGTGCAGGTTCTAGGCTCCACTATTGGGCGGCATCCATACTCCTAGTATGTCTTGATCAGGAAGGTGACAGCTGCAGTAGCCGGGTGGGAATGTGAGTGAGAACAGCTCCCGAGACCGCTTGATTGCCCACCCTGGTGCAGCCCATTCCAGCTGTGTGCACCACTCGCGTTAAGACCTACCTTCCCTGCGCCTTGATTTTTCTCTGTAGGCGTTGGGGCCCCTGGCAGCTGCTTCGGAGGTCACAAAGGAGTTAATGTGTGTACTGTTCTCGGGACAGTACCTGGTCTGTCTCATTCCCGGAGTAAACAATGGCAAATATTTATTTAAGTGTTTGCACGTAGGAAATTTCTGGGCAAGTCTGAGTGGCTAGGGCCTGGCCAACTGGCCCTCCCTAGTTGCACAGGTGGCTGGGGACTGGTGCCTTTCTTTTGTGTAAAGGAGAAAGGGCTGAGGCGGCCATCGGCCATGGCAGCTAGGCAGGAGGGTATTGGGAAACCTAGCTGACAGCAAGAGCATCTTGGGGTCTTTGCCCTAGGAGACAGGGATGGATGGTTGCTGGACCAGAAACGGGACTGTGTCCGAATGCCTCCCAGTTAGTACCTCACTTCATCCTGCTGCAGTTCCTGAGTTAGCAGTATTACCTTGCCTGGTTGCTGTTTTATTTATTTTGTGGCAAAGACTAAAAGCAGGTGTTGAGCTACCACTGAGCCACCCCCAGCCTCTCAAGGGATTCTAGGTCGGGGCTCCACCACTGAGCCACACCCCCAGCCCCTCACTGGGGGATTCTAGGCAGGGGCTCTACCACTGAGCCACGCCCCCAGCCCCTCACTGGGGCATTCTAGGCAGGGGCTCTACTATTGGGCCACACTTGTCAGCCCTTTTTGAGACAAGGTTTTATGTCCTTGAACTTTATTTTTTATTAAGAATTTCATGAAACAACCACAAAAAAAAAAAAAAAAGGAAAAGCCAGGCGTTAGTGGTGCACGCCTTTAATCCCAGCATTCAGGAAGCAGGGGCAGGTAGATCTCTGTGAGTTCGAGGCCAGCCTGGATTACAGAGCCAGTGTGGCTCACAACCATCTGTAATGAGATCTGGTGCCCTCTTCTGGTGTGCAGATAGACATGGAAGCAGAATGTTGTATACATAATAAATAAATAAAATCTTAAAAAAAAAAAAAAACAAGGGGGGAAAAAAAAGAATTTCATTCATGTGTGTGATTATTTGGCCTGCATATATGTCTGTGTACCGTGTATATTCAATGCCTGTGGAAGTCAGAAGAGAACACCAGATCCCTTGGAGCTGGAGTTCCAGGCTGTTGGGAGCCACCATGTAGGTTCCGGAAACCGAATCTGGATCCTTTAGAAAAGCAGCCAGTGCTCTTAACTGCTGAACCATCTTTCCAACCCCTGGCCTTAATACTTAACTAGTATCTAAGTGTCTGGGGTGGCAGCTTTGTAGTCTGTTTTATACGCGTGTTCAGGGGTGGCTCTACTAGCTATGACTGACATGCTGGTGATAGGAACTCCCCGGTAGGCTGTCAGTCAGCCATGATCAAAGGCTTAGGGCGAGTTGCAGGTGCCACAGACCTGGGAGTTAGCGTGACCCAGTTACTACACCTTTTCTTTTTTTTTTCCTGCAAGTGTGTTTCTGACAGCAGCTGCTGCTTTAGCAAGCAAACCCAGAGAGCAAATGATTCAGGGGCGGGGACTTCTTTGATGCGTTGTCCAGTGCACACCTGAAGTGGCTGTCCTGGCAGGGGTGGGGACGCCTCACAGCTGTGCCCCTTTCAGAGGGAGGTAGCTGAGTCTCCCGCAGGCCCATCAAAGTGCCGAGCTCAGGGCCCGGCGGTGACAGGCATGTGGTGTGTGGCTGTCATCTGTCTCTGTGATGATCAGGTACGCCCCTGTGGGCATCCTGTTCCTGGTGGCCAGCAAGATTGTGGAGATGGAAGACATCCGCCAGCTGTTCATCAGACTGGGCAAGTACGTCCTGTGCTGTCTCCTGGGCCATGCCATCCACGGGCTCCTGGTTCTGCCCCTCATCTACTTCCTCTTCCCCCGCCAAAACCCCTATCGATTCCTGTGGGGTATCATGACGCCACTGGCCACGGCTTTTGGGACCTCTTCTAGGTGAGGCCTGTGCTCAGGTGTAACAGAGGGGCCGGGGAG